TTGATTATCATCATTATTTTTATCATTATAACCATTATTACCATCACCATCATTACCACCACACCACCACCACCCCCTCTCCGCAGGTGGGAGAAGGACGGGGGCCCCATCCCCCCCCAGGAGCGGACCACCACCCGCCTCCTGGACGACTACAGCAGCCAGCTCGTGATAGAACGCATCTCCTCCCGCCACAACGGCGAGTACGCCTGCACAGCCGAGAACGCCGCCGCCACCGCCACCCGCGCCGCCAGGTTGACGGTTAATGGTGAGTAAACGCCCGCCACCGCCACCCGTGCCGCCAGGTTGACGGTTAATGGTGAGTAAACGCCCGCCACCGCCGCCGCCGCCGCCACCCGGTTGACGGTTAATGGTGGGTAAACCGCCCGCCACCGCCATTCGTGCTGCCGGTTAATGGTCTGATTACATATATACTGCTATCTTGTTGAAGTTCTGGTTGTAAACCTTACATTTAAACTTATCTCAAACTTAAACTTTATATACTACAATATCTTCGAACTTCGAACAATATCCATCCATAGGAATTTCTAATACTCAAATTTTTTACATATAAACGAACAAAACATTCCTGGATAAATTCAATCTAAGTTCACATCTCAAACTATTCTCCCTCTTTCAAACATCCCCTATTTCCCGACAGTGACCCGCTACCCATTTATCGAAATGAAGATGGGGGAATAAAACCCCATCCCCCAACCCCAAAATTTAGAATAAAAACCCTAACCTAACCTTACACTTGGGAATAAATCCCCTGTAACTCCACAATTGGGATATAACCCTCTTTCCTCCCAAATTAGGGAATAAACCCCTCTTAATCCTATATTCGGTACCTAATGAATTTCCTCTTACCCTCTTCAGAAAATACCGCCCTAACCCCCTTTAGGAAATTAACTTTTATGTGACTTATTATACCCCAACCTACCTTTTGGCAATACCCCCTTAACCCCCATTCCCCAGTGCCCCCCACGTGGGTGACGGAGCCCCGGCACGAGGCGGTGCGTCAGGGCCGCCAGGCTGCGCTGCACTGCCAGGCCGACGGCTTCCCGCCACCCACCATAACCTGGAGGAAACTCCCGCCAGGTATAGGTGAGAAGTCATTTGGTACAATTGGAAGTGTCACATGTGATGTCGATCTTCAGGGTGTTGTAGTGAAAGCTGAGTTCATTGTCTTTAACATCATTGAGCAAATGACCATCCCACTGTTGTTGGGAGTAGACTTTTTAAAAGCGAATAAATTTGAATTGTGTATTCGTAGGCGCCTTCTAATCAAGCATTTAGATGATGGTGGTCTTGCTGAATTTTATTTTGATTCTGATGGCGATTGCTCATCAGTAATGTTGTGTAATGTTCATTGCTACGCCGCTAATGATATCACTATTCCAGTTGGTCAAGCAGCTTGTGTCGCAGTGAAAATGGCTATGCCATTGGTTGAGCCTGAGCACATATTGACTTATACTGATAAGGGAATTGATCCACAACTGGGCGACTCGGTCCGTGGGTTGCCTGGCATTGCTGACGTTAAGACCCAATCAGTATTGTTGGTGGCTGGAGAATCTGGGAAAACAGTAAAGCAAGGTATGTCTTTGGGTACAGTCTCGTCAGTCCTTCAGGTTTCTGCACCGGACATTAATGATGTTCCTGATAAGGTGGGGTGTGATGATTTGATGTCGTTGGTCTCACTGCCCGAATTGACCTTGTCTGAGCAGGCTGTAGTTTTTGCCACATTGCAGAACTTTAAATCAGTTTTTAGCTCAGGTGACAATGATGTTGGTCTTGCTAGTGTTACAGAGCATACGATTAGGCTAACTGACGAGACCCCAATATACCAGGCTCCCAGAAGGTTCCCACGCCCCATTGCAGATGAGATTGAACGGCAGTGTCAGGAGTTGAATTCCTTGGATATTATTGAGCCTAGTATGTCTCCTTGGTCGTCCCCAGTTGTGCCAGTTAGGAAGAAAGATGGAACTGTCCGTATGTGTATTGATTATAGGAAACTAAACCGTGTGACCGTACCTGACAAGTTCCCTGTCCCTAATTTGGCAGATTCTCTCTTTGGCTTGCGCGGTACCAAATATTTTACTCGCCTTGACCTGGTCAGAGGCTATTATCAATTACCTATTGACGAGCAAAGCCGCAAGTACACAGCATTTTCGACTCAAAAGAATCATTGGCAATTTAAGAGGCTAAGCTTTGGGTTGCGGAATGCTCCTTCAGCATTCCAACGAGAAATTCAGGCTGTATTGAGTACCTTCCCGTCACATAAAGTAATTGCGTACTTGGACGACATCCTTATTATGGGAGACAGTTTTACAGAACACCTCTCTCTTGTGTCCAAAGTCCTGCAAACGTTGCAAAGTTACTCCATTAAAATTAAACCTTCGAAATGCGAGTGGTTTAGGTCTCAGGTAGAGTACTTGGGACACATTATTAGTCAATCAGGTATTAAGAAGACAGATGTGTATGTGCAGAGAGTAGCTAATTACCCCCGACCCAAGACAGTTAGAGAGCTGCGTGAGTTTTTGGGTTTCGTAAATTTTCAGAGGAAATTTTTGCCTAATTGTAGTGAAATCCAGAAGCCCCTCTCTTGTCATACTAGTGGTCGTAGAGGTAAGGTGTTGGAGTGGACACCAGAAATGGTAGATTCTTTTGAGAAACTTAAAGCAGGGATGCAGCAGGATATTGAGTTAGCATACCCAGACTATTCAGAAGAGGCAAATAAGCTTGAATTGTGGGTAGATGCCTCAGGAATTGGTGCAGGTGCATACCTTGCTCAGGTGCAGGGCGATTGTCACCGTGTCATAGGTTTTGCCTCAATGACCTTCAGCCCAACTCAACTAAATTACTCTACCCTTGAAAGGGAACTCACCGCCTTGAGGTGGGGTATAAAAACGTTTCGACCATTTCTATTTGGTGTACCGTTTATACTCTACACTGACCATCAACCTCTAGTCCATCTTCATAACATGAAGATAGTTTGTTCTCGGCTTGTTAGAACGGTAGAGGAACTAGCAGATTATGTTTTTGAGATTCGGTATGTTCCTGGCCATGTGAACTCAGCTGCAGATGCCCTGTCTAGATTGAATTGTCACGTGCCTCAGCGTGAGGGTGAGTCGGGTGATACCTCATTACCAGATGGCTTAGTCTTGAATGGTCCTGCTGTACCTGGTGGAGGTGACTCGTTATTTGTAAGCATATTACGTTCATTGTCTAGATTGAAGTTCTCTCGTAAAGTTCCTGAAAGTGTGGTACAGATGAGACGGGTATTGATCGACGAAATTTTGAATAACCCTTTACGATACAGGATTAAGCTGGACCGCAACTCCCGTAAACAGTTGCAGCTCATGCGGTTCCCAGGTCAGCTCCCATGTCTCGATGTACTCTTATCGGCCAGTTACTTATTCAAGGTAAAGGTTCTTGTCTATTTTTGGTCCGAAAAGCCAATAATTTATCAGTTTGATGATTACAAATCTGTAATTTATTTACAATGCATCAGTGGCATTCATTTTAACCCACTGATTGAATTAGCCAATTTTACTCCTCCCGATTTTAATTCATGTTCAGTTAGCTCAGTTGCTCACGACCAACCATTGGAGGCTAGCACTGGCAGCAAATGTCACACTGCAAGTGGTGAGGATGACACGAATGAGGATAATGATGAAAATGACACTGATGTTGTGGAGAGACTATTATTAATTGATGAGCCTTCAAAGGTCTGTGCACACCCAGTTGGCTCTTTGCCTGAGGTCCTAGTCGCGATTGGTGATCATAAAATGTGTGCCGTTTTGGACTCAGGGGCGGAGATCAGTATTGTGTCTATGTGTGTGTTGGATAGGATCAGAGACTGTGTAAATTTCAATGTGCAACCAGAAAGGGTTTGCGACATAATTGGGTTTTCTGGTGTCAGGATGGCCATCACGCATTCCGTTGAGCTCTCCTTTACAATGGGTAATTATAAAATGTCTAAAAGCCACAAATTTGCGGTGGTATCCAGTGATGTACTTCCTCATTGTTTCCTAATAGGTCTTGATTTTTTGCATGACCATGACATAAGCATTGACCTTAAGGATGATTTATGTAAGCGAAGTTGTAGTATTGTCACAGAGTTATTGTTACCCACACGCAGTTTGACAAAACCAATTACCCTTTTGCTTGAGAGGGAGAGTCCGGCTGTTCATGGACTAAGTATTGCACTTGCTGAAGAAGGGCTAAGGTTTGAGATTCAGAGTGGTACAGATCCTATCTCAAGCCTGCACCTGATAATGGATGATGAAGTTATAAGGTATATGCAGGCTCATTGCCCTGTTCTAGAGTCTCTCAAGCGCTGTATGTGCCAAGATGTTCCGCCTAGTGATTGGCCGGTGGAAGTCAGATCCTTTGTGAAGCATTCAACCAAGTTGTCAGTTCAAAATGGGCTGGTGTATTTTGACGATTCCAGTCCCGTGCTTGTTATGCCATTTAAAGTGCTGGTGGAGGTTGCGTTGAACTTGCACAATGCTTATGCACATATTGGACGTGATAAGCTACTTCATTTAATTTCAGGTATAATGTGGCACCCATCTAAATTTAGAGTAGCAAATGATGTTTGTTCTACTTGTAAATGGTGTCAAATTTTTAAAGAATCATCTAATCGTATTGTGCCACCAACTTTGCAAATTAAATCAGAATATCCCTTTGAACTGGTAGCAGCAGATTTGATTTCTCTCCCAAGAACTTCCAGTGGCTATATTGGATGTCTTGTAGTCGTAGACCACTATTCCAAGTGGCTAGTAACAGTCCCTATTAAGAATAAGAAAAGCTCAACTATTATCTATGCATTCCACCACCATGTGTTGCCATTTTTACCTCGCATTCCTGACAACTTATTAACGGATAATGGACCAGAATTTATCTCTGCTGAATTTTGTGATTGGGTTAATGAAACTAGCATTACCCACAAGTTCACAACGCCCTTTTGCCCGAGCTCGAATGGCGTGAAGAATGAACCCGATCCTGGTCCATCCACAGTTATGGACAATGGTGTTAAACTAAGCGAGCTGTATAGTGGAGTTTTTGACCTCGAAGAAAATTGGGAACTTTCTTCTATTGATTCGGCTTATATGATTGACCATTCGCAAGAGACCATTGACCCTGGCGACAGTTTACCCTTGGTGGGTAGAGAACTCGTGTTGGAGGACATTGCATCGTTCTCGGTATTTGAGAATGAAATCGATATTGCGCCTTTAGATGTCGATGCTGGTAAGGTTGCTACTCAGTCTCCTACGCTCAATTGTGAAAACCTTGAAGGGTTGCCCGTCATTCAATTGACTGATCTGAGTGCTCTCAGGAAAAGAATTGTTGACAAATTTATTCATAGCGATTCAGGAGGCGGAACCAGGCACACCAGATCAAAAGGGCCAGTACCTGATTACCCGAACGTGCAAGGTAAAGTCCTTGAGTACAAAGCTAGAACTAAGTCATATGACACAGCCTAATTTCAGTTACTCTCATTAATTAGTAATGCCTTGATTTTGTATAAATTGTAGCAATGTTCTTAACGTGCAAGATGTGCCTTTTCGTTCAGTGCAGCGGGTTAACGGTATTTTCGTAGTATTGTTGACATGTATGGCCGAAGTGACGAAGCTAAGGGTGGCGATGACCCTGAATAATCCTCATTGTGTAGGAGGAGAGGGGCACGAACGGAAGTGTATAAATGTGTAATTTTAAGCATTGCGTATATGGTTAAGCGTTAGGAAATTAAGATGTAATATGTTCTGATTCGTAGAAATGTATGATAAAAATTAGGAAATCAATTTATATTCAACTGCCGTGCAATAAAAATTGTATTCCCTTCAGCATTCTTGCAGCATTAATTGTAAATATGATGTAGGGAAGGAAGACAAGATTTCTTGTTTTTAATGCAAATCAATAAATCTTTAACTTTTTAATGTATTGTGTTGCGTATCTTGAAACTAGGATGTAATGGTTTATTGTGAGCATGAGCCCAAGCACACCTGCAGCCCGTCACAATGCTACTAAAGTATTCAGTTAGCCCTATGCAGCTTCTAAGCACAGATTTGTTTGAGCTGGCGGGGGGGTATGTAACCGGAGGTTACCATGCATGACACTTTCGCAGCAAATCAAATCTGTAGCATGTTATTTCATATTAAGATGATCCGGGATTTAGGACCCGAGTTCCGCGGTGTCTACTACCAAGCGGACCACTTTATACTGGTGGCTTGTGCTAGGAAGAGCTAAGTGCTTGGGTGAGTGCTCGGATAGGATTTTAATTAGCAAGATTTATATTTGGTGAACAGTGAATACAATAATTTGTAAAGAGTTTCTTTGTAGTAATGCTTCATCTATCAAGCTAACTTCTGTGATAAACTGACTTTATTTACTGCAATTTGAATTGTTACTATTGCCCTCAGAGTTAGTCAGACCACTTTAATGTTCTCATGGATAAGGGCTGATTCATTTAATGCTAGGATAGTTTATTTATGTCCACTATGGTTAGCTGCATACCTAACTTACTGCAAATATGTATCATATCCTCTCGATTCTCTTTGCATATTTGTTTACTACTTAGCTAAATTTATAAATATTGCGTGCTGATTATTATTTGTAATTTACTAAATTTCATTATTTACAACGGAATTCAGTCTCCCTAGTCAATGTATTAATTAGGGTTATTATTTTCTCCAACAGTTACTGCTGGCCCATCTCATGCTCCCTAATTTACATAGTAGTTTATTCAGTACCTCATTCTTGGTTTGCATCTAAGCTATACCTAGCTTACTCTTCAATATCCACCCTAGGCTATACCTAACCATCTGAGCTGTCTATTAGTTGTCTTGACCATTGTTCGGTACATCTAGAACCTTGCCACTTGCTAAATTGTGTGTTTATGGACGATACATAATTCAGTCTACTGGTATTTGCTGCTGTTTCATTTTACTCCATCAACCACTGTAGTTACAAGGTTGCCAGAGACGCATAAAGTGGGTCCTTCTGACCCCACCCGCATCCACGCGCCGGCAACATTGGCATCTCCGATTTTTCTTTTTCATTCACATACCAATCCTATTTTGATACAATAGAATTATCACAATGTCTTCAGCACATTCTTCTTCTGAACCCATAAATCAGAACACAAGGGAGCATGAGAGTGTGGTAGAAGGGCATGGGGCTCCTGCTGATGCAACTCAGGTGCACATGAATCCTGGCTCTGGTGAAATTCCTTTGCCCAATGCTGCTTCAGTGGCTCCGAACAAACTGGCAGCTGTGATCTCTGTGCAAGCTGTTTTGAACCAGTTTGCTGTGCCCAAAGTCCGTGCTGACTTCATTAATGGCCGCTTTGGTTGCAACATAAACCCTAATCTGCTGCCCAGGATTGATGAATTAAGGTGGACGCTATTCCCACAGTGGCAGACTAAGGCAGCTATTTTTACCAATGCCACCAGTGAGCAGGCAGCTTTCCACCTAGGTAAGCTACTTGCAAAAAGCAACGAGCTACTACTGACATCCATGGATGTCATGGAAGACTGTCTGTCTTACCATGACTGGATGAATGCACTGGAGCTGATAGCCTCTAGCAGATATTGGGAACAGACACCAGCAGAATCGCGTTGCACTCATATCATTTGCTCAGATAATGAGTTGGAGCCCACAGCACCCGTGACCAGCCCAAGGAGCAGGACCAAGGCATCAAGTACAAAATCGAAAGCCCTCGCCAAGAAGACCAAAAATTTTAATGACCATTCTAAGGAATTGCTGAAAACTAAGAATACCAAGAAACAGACTATAAAAGCTTCACCTAAAGTTGAAGAAATTCTAATTTCTTCAAGTGAAGCTTCAGGAGAATCAGCATCTGCAGAAGAAACCACTGAATCCTGTCCCTCATCTCTGGATGAAAGTGACTCGTCTGTTGAAAGGGAGTCAGCAATTCGCAGGAGAAGAAAACATCGGCAACAAACGGTAAAGAAGGACCTGAGAGAGGTTGTTGTACCACCAGTGTTTACCATGGATGGACGAGTTCCCCTTAAGGACTATTTAGTGACTTTTGAGCAGTTCTTTGACCGAAAGTTCAAAGGTACTACGCATGATAAATGCCAAAAGCTCTCGAATTTTCTGCAGGGAGATTTACTTAATGTTTATGAGATCAGGGGTGGACGTAAGCTCAGCTATGAAGAAATGAAGAAATACCTACTGCAGTATTACAAGAAGCAGCGTATTGGAGGCCGGCGATACTGGAAGAGACAGTTCAAGGAATGCCTGCCGGAAACATCCGAGAGCTACGATATTTATGGTATGCGTCTAATAAGTCTGGCTGAACTGGCTTACCCAAGCTCTAAGAAGGAATGTGCACTGCAGCTTCGTCAGCATTTCCTTGCATCTGTACCTCCTGTCATTTCTTCAAAGATCTCTGATGCTGAGCGAACCATTAAGATTGCTTCTTCTGGTCAACCCAAACATCTTGCCTTTGAAAAGTTGATTCAACTGGCAACTGACCTGCAGCGGGAACAACCTAAGCCAAAGTCCATCATGTGGAGTGACCAGTCCTCCAGTCGGAACACTACCAGTGGTGGCCCAGGTGCATCACTGTATTCGTCACCACGTGTCAAGGAGTACCGACCTTCTCAGCACGCTTCAGCTGCAGCGGCAAAGAAAACTCCTAGCGGTGGAAATCTCCAAGTGAAGGCAAACAATCCAGAACCACGGGAACGTGCAGAACGTCCAGCTTCAACTACCCCCAGAAAGAATTCACCCTTGTGTCACTACTGCCGCAGGCCAAACCACACCCAGAAAGAATGCTGGAGGAAGATGGGTGCCTGCCTAATTTGTGGTAAACAGCACAGGATGGAGTCCTGCCCCAGGTTTGATCCCAAATTCAAGGAGCGATCCAATGAAAGGAATCAACGGTACTGCAATTCACGGAATAGTTTGGAAAATGAAATTCGGAAAAAGCCCCTGCAGTATCATGGTGTCAATTTATAGATTGGGATATGTTAGATTGATCAACTAGAGAAGTAAAATTAATCAACTGAAAATCTTCTTTTATTTCTGATCTAAATTAATTCGTAAATTTGAAAATATATCATTTATTTTATCCGCAACTGGGCGTTTACAGGAAACTTTTATTTACTCTGTAATGCTATTATTTTGTAGAATTATAAATTGCAGTCTTACGGCCATGGTTCCGGTTTCCAGCCGGCTTTAATAATAAATTTAAAATTTGTTTTTATCTCACCTGCGCTCATCGGTGCGTCTACCTACATTATACCAAAGCTGGAGTTGATGTGCCCTAAATATTCAAGCCAGTTCCATGTTTGAGTGTTCTAAAATAATTTTGATTGTTTTTTTACAGTAATGGAGTTATTTCTTATAAATGATACTAATACTTTAGCGCTATAACGATTTAACTAGAAAGTTTATGTGCAATAATATTGTATTGAATGCTTGAAGAACAAACGAATGCATCCATTATGGACGCGATACTTTTCTATGTATGAAATTGCATTGTTCTGTCATAGCGAGTTATGTATATCATTTCGTTGAATGAAACGCATTGTATATTTTAGGTTATGTCATGGTTGTCTGTCACAGAACTAGTACATATTTAAAGGTGCACGCTAGGGTGATGACTTTTTTATTTTTCCTGTTCAATTTTCTTCGATCTTGTATCTAGAAACTAATAAATGAAATTCTTAAAATCATTTTGTACGTGAGGTTTTTCATCAAATCGCCGAGAATGTATTTTATTTTTCATTCTTAAATGAAAGCTAGTCAATTAATGATACAGGAAACGAGGTTGTACAAAAGTCATCACTCTATTGCACAACCTACCTGTGTGACACAACAGGGGGCTCGACACAAGAATCTTCAGAACTTGAGATTACAATGGACACTACATGTCCCTGAACTTTCCAATTCAAACACTTGCTTAGGGTTTAGCTTTTCTTCTATTGGTTGTTGTTTAAGGCTCATTATTCGCTAGAGCAAACTATGAAAAACCTTCGGGTATCTTTAAACAAAGTTTAAATATGATTCGATACATGAACGTTGTTTATAATGTTTGTAAGTGGTTGCTGTAATGAAATAGAAAAAGACAAAATTAAATGTTTCAAAGTTTATAAATTTATATATTTTTAAATTTCATAGTACTTGCTTAAAAATTGTAAATCGGTAATAGTAAAGTAAAAATAAGACTCCTACCAAATCATCGGGTAATCTAGGTTGCTTTCACAATACATGTACGGCATAAATTCTTAGGTAAAGGTGCTACTGAGAACGTGATCGGATCTGACTGACGAGTATAAGTACAATGACATCTCGCATTGAGTATAATTGGTCAATATTTCATTAAAAAAACTCAACACAAATAGTGAACTAAAATCTATGTTTTTTTGCTGTTTATCCAGTATCTAATGACAACAGTTGTGCACTCGAAAGTTTTTTAAGTATGACGTTTTATTATAATGTAATCGATCAGCCTGACACCAGTATTGACGCTGGCAAAAAAATTTTCCGGCTGGGCTAGAATTTTAATAATTTTATTTGTTTTATTTTACATTTATTTTATGGTGACGCGAACATTTACTTTTATATTTTTGCAACAATTTTCATCCTTGCCTCAACCAAACATAAAATGGTTCTAACCTCGATGAATTTTAACACTTATTATATATCGCATTATCCATGAATATGTTTAATATGTGTAACATAATCGGAATACTTCACGGGAATTTTATTTTTCTGTCATATCAAGAAAATTAAGGGAAGGGTGGATATTTGATTCTAATCTACGAAATGGACATTTTATTTATAAATAAATAATTTAAATCTCCTTCGAAATACGGAAAAGGACTTTAATGTGAGTTTCGGGCTAAATTTGAGTCGGATTGATAATTGTTCGATAGGGCAAACTACGAAGAGTTGTTGTATGCAGGAACGTTGTTTATAAATTGTTTGTAAGTGGTTGCTGTAGATCTTACAAATCCGTATGAGCAGACATTGGCAATAGAAAAGTAAAAATAAGGCTCTAACAAAATCATCAGAAATCTAGGTTGTTTTCACACTACAATTAAGTCAAAAATTCGTAGGTCGAGGTGCTACTGAGAACGCGATACAGATCTGACTGACGAGATTGAGTAGAATGACATCACGCATTGAGTATATATAATGGGTCAATATGTCATTGAGAGACCTCAACACAAACAGTGAACAAAAAAATCAATGATTCTTTGCTGTATGTGATATTGTAGCAGGAGCATTAATTTGCCCAGTAAATAATGACTGAGCCACTCATGTTACGCTTCCGAAAGTTTTTTAATTGAGACTCCTTCTTATTTTTAGCCTGATATTGTTATTATTGACGTAAATACATTCACCCAGTATTGACGTTGAATGAGTAATGAGCCCAGACGGACAAAAGCGAAATTTTATTTGATGGTGATGCGAACATTTACTTTTATTCTCTGCATCTACTTTCACCCTTACTTCGATCTAACATAAATGGTTCTAACTTCGAACAATTTAAATACCTATTAAATGAAGATTTGATGATTTCGCAAGGAAATCTGTCAGAAATCTCATTACTTAACTTCTATACATGTATCGAAAAATCTAATAATATATATAATCGGGATATTTCACTTAAATTTTATTTTTCTGAAACATCAAGAAAATGAAGGGAAGGATAAGTTTACAAACTGATATTTGCTTCTAACTTTACTAAATGAACGTTTTATTTATAAATGAATAATTTAGATCTTCATCGAAATACAATACAGGATTTGAATCTGAGTTTTGGGCTTAAGTTGAGTCGGTTCATGATTTGCTCTAAATCTGGTACTTTACAGGATTATGGATGCTTGGGATCGTGATGACCGGATTCGGGATAACGGGATTCTCTATAACTGGATTCCGGAATTCTTTTTC